AATGTGCTGTTCCTACCACTCTGGCCTTCCCATGGCTTCTTTCTCCTAAAAAAGCGGGTCTGGAAGATCGTAGCTGTTAGGGTTAACCTTATTAACCTTAGCATACCTCAAAACAGCTGTTTTCTGTTAGTGATCAAGTTTTGTAAAAATATGTTTCAAACTACCTGTATGGCGATAGGGTTTCCCTTAGCATGCAAAACCTCCAGTAGGATGCAACATGTCTAAATTTGGCGCTTACTTTCCAAGCAGTTGATTGTACCAGGCGTAGATAGGCATGACATCTGCATGGTTTTCGGCCTCTCGCCACTCCTGGGGAAGCAGGAGTCTCAACGAACCGACCTGTTCCTTGACGCGTATGCGGGCTACGGAGGCTGCAAAGTGAACTGCAACCGCCAGAACAGCCTTCTCAATTTCCTAAAGGCATGAAAGTAAGTGTTAGAAGAGACACCGGTTTCCTATAAAAAATGGAGTTGCTACACTGTGGTAGTTCGTCTGAAGTTACCATCTTAAACAAAGTAAAATGCATTGCAAACGCAATGATTACGATGAACGAATTCGATCCGTCCATAAACTTAACTGAATGTTTGCGTTATCTTCGCTACATACGGACAGTAATCTTGATATAAGCACACGAATATAGACGAAAATGCTGACTCCAGATGTTGAGACGGAAGGTGAAAGTAAGGTGACATCTGGGGATGATGGTTTAACCATCAGACTTTTCACATTTGTACCCGAGCGCATCATCGGGGATAGGAAAAAATGGGCAAGACATCGTTTACATAGGTCCTCCTTACTCGCTGTTGATAAGTCCATCTCGCTCTCTATTCCTATCTGTCCTCCCTTTTTTGCACAGCCTCATATTGTGTTGACAGGCTGATTCTACCTTTTATCGAGTTGGCATCAAATTTACCGGTTTCGATCACCCCTCTCGTCATTTTGCATTCGGTTCGACCGATTACTCTTGCATCCCGAAGACCTAACTAACGATTTCTCCCGAGGCTGGGCATGGCAACCTGCGACCGTACGTTTTTTCGCGTTATGACTAGATTATACGCATGCATACGCGATATTAGTCATCTGTCTGTCATGTCGCAGGGGAGCCCACAGGGGTTCCCCAGATTTGACCGTTAAATTTGAAGTACTTCCTTAGGCGGTAACTCCAGCAGGTATTTCCTTTGAACTCGTTTTCTTTTTTTGGATACAATGGAATATGTGGATGGACTATGTCCTACGCTTGTGGTGCGTAACACAGCCGACGCCAAAGTGATAAAACAAAACATGCTTACTATAAAGAAACAAGTAGGCAGTTATGCAAAGTATACACGGTCGAGGTATTACTTATAATATATCATTATCCCTTAGTCCCTTTACCTCCTCTCCAGTACGCCATTAATGACGCTGTCGACCAATTCTTTAAGGATGAAGGTGAACAGAGAAACGACGCCAAAGTATACTATCACGGCAGCTTAAGTTATTAGGGTAGACCCTAGTCGCTACGACCTTCTGACCCGCTTCCGTATGAGAAAAAAGAGGTGGGACACTAGCCGGGAGGGCAGCGTAATCCGTACAAAACAACTGGAAGTGGGGTTGGGAGAAATTGGCAGTCAAACAAGGGCATGCCCAGAGCCGCGAGTAAGGCTTCCGAGGTGGGTCGCCATGCAGCCCAGACATCCAGTCACGCCCAGATGCAAGTTTTCTAATGACCGCTTACAAAAAGTGGATTTTGCGAAAACTGGCTACGTAAATAGTATGAATTGTTATCATGGATTTTGAGTGCCTCTATAAATTAAACTGTATTTTATAGAAAACATGCACGAAAATGTTCTTTATCGTACTCGTTTTGTAGCAAAATAAAGCCTTCTTTAAATTTTATACTTAAAGTGTATCCTTCGGTTGTATAAAGTGTCTAATTATGAGATTTTTTACGACTGTGAGGTGTTCATTTATAACACATCGTACTGGTAAATTTATTAATGCCGCCTATAACGGATAAAGCTTTTTCCGCATCTGTTGCAATATTTTATGAGAAGTATATGACTTCTTCCCAAACCGTAGGCCATAACGTACTTTTCCCCAAATAGAATGTACACAGCATGCAGTTTGCAAAGCTTGAAGTCAGGTGTAGCAGTCGGAATGTTGCCAAATTATTCGGCAATTTATAAACACTTTAAAACCGCAAGATACCCTTTCTTTAAGTATAAATTTTAACGAAGACGTAATTTGCTATCAACCGAAAACAAGAAATAATTTTTTCGTTTATGTTTTCGATAGAATATATTTTATTTTTATAAAGACAGTCAAAATCAATGATAAGAACGCATACTGCTTAAGTAGCCAGTTCTTACAGTACATACGTTTTTTTAACGGTCAGAAAGGAGCTCGTTAAAAACCCGGCATCATATCGTGACTGAAATGACTTCAAAGCAGACTACATGATAATCATTATTACATTGCCGATTAGCTAGTGAGTATCAATCTTAATCAAATGTCAGCATGTTGCACGACATCGGGGCCGTACTGTATTCTCAGTTTTTTTAATTGCAATCTATGTGCCGGATAGAATTTCAAGAAAATAGGTATGACGAACCTGAAACAGGTCAGTGGTGGGCGGGTACACAAAGACTCTACCGGCATACTTGGCTGGCCTCTCTTCGTTTTCCGGTGGCGGCAGAAGGTCAATGTCCGCGTCGGTTCTGGTGCGGCGCTGGTAGTTTCTGGAGGTGTAGTCAAACAGTGTCACTAACACCAGATATTCCTCCTCTTTGTAGTCAGGGTATTCGCTGTAAAAGCTGACCTCGTCCAGAATTTTATCCAGTATGTTGTAATCTGAAGAGACAGTAAACAGCATGCAAAGCAGAGGTGTACTAATAAAATTCTCTCCTAAGTTAACTTTCTTCAGCACATGCCCTTATGATGCAGAGATGTAATGATGAAGGTAGTTGCCTCCATATTTGCGCCCTTGATAGTATGTATTGGCTTGCATCCACTGGAAGTTTAACTTTTTTCTGTTGTCGCTAATATCGCTGAGGAGTTTGGAAGCGCCGAATAATAAACAACCTGTTCGGCGCTCGACTTACTTACTTAAACATTCAAATGTCGAGGACAGAGGCACGACCTCACAACAAGGTCGACGCAGCACCATCACCCATATCCGTTTTATTCGACGACGTGGTGATTCACTCGACTTTATAATTTTTTTGCAAATGTGACTTAGTGTAATATTTATCCGACAGGCAATGGAAAGATGTGGATCGGCCAACTGAGCTCTTGCAGGCTACTGGACTGCAGTGTTGACCAGTTTTGTGGGTTTCCGCAAGGAATTCGACACGTCCGATGCCGGCCCTCGCAGCCATGCTACTCCATGCTAATTTGCGCATACACTTGATCGTTTCACAAAAGGCCCATAGTGTGGTTCGATGACCCCAGACACAGTTGTAAGTCAGGTCAGTCATGAAGATCTCCGTTGGCGCTCATAAATGCATGCGCTAGAGTCTTACAGACGGAACCGCGCTGTCCAGCGGCTTCCACGTGGAAACCGCACGGTTCAAAAGGAGAGCGATATTTGATAAAGTGGAACCGCCAAGAACAAGGGAAACCGCAATGGCCATTTCTGGTATTTTATTTGTTGTTATATCGCGATGAGTAGGCAGAAAGAAGGCAACGGCCTGTTCTGACAGGAACACTTTGTTCAGGATAACACAAAGACAGCGGAATCTTTTAGCTCGTCCATTAGAGCCTATTTATAAGGTCGTGGTCCTTCTCTCATAATCCTGGCCTATAACAT